CGAGCCTAATTTTTTTGGCCGAGCTTTTATTCGGCTCGAACTAAAAAAAGCTCGAACCATTTTTACTCGAGCCGAGCGAGCAAAAAGTTTCGACTACTGACTTGACTCGTTGACACCCCTAAAGTTACCAGAGTGACCTGGATAATAACTCGAACAATGCAATGGGTTGGATCACTTGTAGAATCATTGTTTGAGTGGTCAAATTAGTGGATCACTGTTTAAAAAAATATTTTTAAAAGTTAAAATATTTAAATTATTAGTCACTTAATTTTCTCGGTCTATAAATTATTGATATTTTCAACTTATTTGTAATATAATATTTACATTAAAATTTTATAATTTTTTATAGGATAGAATATCTAATATTTAGTCAAAACTTTTGTAGTTTTAAGTATTCGGTTCATCTTAACTAAAAGTAATTTCTCCATATATAACAAGTCCTTAAAATAATTATTTGATTAAAAAATTATTAGAATGTTGTTTCAAAAATATTACTTGATTATTCAATTATATTGTAGTTTATGAATACAAAATTGACAACGAACGTTATAATAAGTTCCAAAACACAAGTTTGACTCTTTAGTACCCTATAATGCAAAATTTTATGTTTTATCAAAAGAAGAAATTAGGGGCAATCATGCTAATATGTTTTAAAGTCCAAAAGTTAATACCTTGAAATAATATTACAAATCAAGTACTACTTAAACTAACGACTCAATTTAAGTTGGATCTGATTATTTTTTGTTGAATTTGAACAATTTTTAAAGTAAGAAACCACTTAAAAATCTCTGTTATTTTTAACACATATAAGGGATTCTTTCTGAAAATTAATTTATAAATAAATTTGAAACTACGGAATATTTTTTTTTTAAAAATTTGGGAATTATTCATTTTATTATCACGTCCTTAATTTTTAGTTTATCGTCAAATTATTTTTAGGTTTGTGACGGTTTTTTTTGCTGAATAAGGAGAATGCAAGGTTGGAGTGGCGATGGTGGTCATTGGGAGATGGTTGTGATGGTGGCGGGTTCGACTATAGATATAGAAAAATGCTATGTCTACACCTCATGGTGTACAACGGCTTCACACACACACCCCCCCCCCTCCCTCCACATGGAGGGGGCCCACGAATATTTTATTGTGTGTGGGCTCCCCTCCATGTGAGGGGGGTGTAAAGCCGTGTGTACACGTAACATCTCTCATAGATATATAACAACAATAACATAGTGTAGATCACAATTAAAAAAAAACTATACAAATTGTTACCTGATTCAAATGTAAATTAATGCATAGTGGATGTTAAATAAT